TAGCAGAGATGGAGTTTCGCTATGTCGACCAGGCTGGTCTCAACCTCCTGACCTCAAGTGATCCACCTGCCTTGGCCTCCCAAAGTGCTGGGATTACAGGCAAGAGCCACTACGCTCAGCCTATAGTGCTATAGTGCTGGTTTCTAATTACAGCCTTTCAGTGACCACATCTGCTGGCAAATAATCTGAGTAAGGAATATTGAAAGGAAATATTCTTATAAACTCAACATGTGCTTTGAATGCTTCTGACAATTTGGGCCCTACCTCAGGAGACAGCTGGGAGCTCGATAGAAGTTATGGGATAGTAACCCTTAAGCAAATAATCTTTCTGTAGTGGGAAACAGGGTTAAGGTTAAACCAGATTCAGAGAAGTACCTCCTTTATAGCAGCCAACTCCAAAGAAATCTTTCCTTCACCTCCTTACTCTAAGCATTATACTATCTATTCATTGCTTGTGAATTTCTGACATATATCTCGTTTTTCTGCACAGAGCTCAGTAATGATAGAGAAACAAATGGTTCTAGGTGAAAATAATGCAGAATGATGAGAGAGAGGAAGGGATGACAGAAAAGCTTAGTGGCTTGTATCCTAAGAAGTGTCAACAAGCACAAAACTGCAACGTTTCATTGTCTTCCACATTGCTTCCCAATCTAGCCTGATCCTTTTGAAAAGTACTGCAGCCTTGAAACTTTCAAGAGACTATTTACAATTCAAGGGAACAAACAATCTCAAAGTGTTAGGTGATGGGGGAGTAGTGTGGCTTATTATTTCCTTTAGAAAATGTCTTAAAGTGCAGCTATAAATGAAATCAGTATGTTCATTTTAAAAAGCAAATGTGAAAAGTGTTGAGCTCATATATTTATAGCTTTAAAGTTCACGAAACTCTGGCTAGTAAGTTAGGGTTTTACGTGTTTTTTTAAATTAAAATTGTATTTTGATATAATTGTAGATTCTATGTATTTTTTAACTTACAAATTCAGCATATACCATGGGTATTTGGCACTTCCCTTTTGCCCATCATTTATTTATTTATTTTGGGGGGACAGGGTCTCACTTTGTTGCCCAGGCTCAGCCTCCTGAGTAGCTGAGACTACAGGCACAAGGCACCACACCCAGCTAATTTTTTTTCTTGTATTTTTTGTAGAGATGGGGTTTTGCCAAGTTGCCCAGGATGGTCTCAAACTCCTGGGCTCAAATGATCCACCCGACTCGGCCTCCTAAAGTGCTGGGACTACAGGCGTGAGCCTGCCATCATTTAAATTGTAAAAAAATTTGCTGTTCATTAGGCCCAGCTATCATAAGGAGTTATAATATTCTTGGTTTTCTTAAAAAAAAAAAAAAAGACATTTGACATTTTGTGACTTTAAAAGTGAGTGGGAGCCGGGCGCGGTGGCTCAAGCCTGTAATCCCAGCACTTTGGGAGGCTGAGACGGGCGGATCACAAGGTCAGGAGATCGAGACCATCCTGGCTAACACGGTGAAACCCCGTCTCTACTAAAAAAATACAAAAAACTAGCCGGGCGAGGTGGCGGGCGCCTGTGGTCCCAGCTACTCCGGAGGCTGAGGCAGCAGAATGGCGTAAACCCGGGAGGCGGAGCTTGCAGTGAGCTGAGATCCAGCCACTGCACTCCAGCCTGGGCGACAGAGCCAGACTCAGTCTCAAAAAAAAAAAAAAGGGGGGGTGGGAAGATGGCAAATAGTTGAATAAAGATCATTAGGAGCCATCAAAGACGTTGAGTTAAACTCTGGAAAACTCTGGAATGTGTCTTGGGGATGGGAGCAGGAATGACGAGGAAGATTTCTTAGTAGAGCAACTGCTGAGCAGAAAGCCCTTTGCTGCCTTGCTGAAGTGATTAAAAAGTGCTTCTATTTTGCTGTATGAGTAAAATGATTGCCCTTGCTCAAGATAAGGGAAAAAAGAAGATACCTAATTAGGATGAACAAAATAGGGACCTCCTGTGTGAAAATCTCCATTATTGTAACGTTTACCCTAAAAATTATATTTTTAATGAAATTTATGCTTCATGCTTCCCTCGTTGATGAAGACTTTTCCTATCATGAAACTTCTTGCTTTAATCTTGATAGGTACTTCAATTTAATTAGTGTACAATCTCTTTAGCTATACACGAGAAGTATAGCCCTTCCCAGATTACATTTTAGAGAGGTTTGCTTAACCTTTGTTAAATGCAAATTGGGAAGATTACTTGTCTGTCTGCAATGCTGAGATGTGTGTGGATAGAAGTCATATTCATAAAGAGATAGAAAGGCAGAGAGTTGGCCTGAGTTATCTTATTCAGACAAGCTTAACTTGTGTGTGTGTGTTTTTTGTTGGGGGGATGGAATTGTTCCGATGAAAAATCAGCCAGGAGCAGAACTACAAGTCCTCCATTCCATGTATAAGTTTGGAAAATTGAGTTTAAGAAGGTATTGAGTGGATGCAAAAAGGGTGAATTATGGATCATCAAAACCCCTTCCTTAATTAGCAGCCTTGCTAAGGGCCTTGGTCTGGACCCAAGGGACAAATTAGGGGACAGTTTTGTCCACAGTGAAGCCTTGTGCTCAGTCCCTTGCCACCTTCCTCTGCAGAGCCTCACCCCTCTGGGCCAATAAATAAGGTTGCTCCATCACACTCTGCAGTAGATCAGCCCCCTTTTAAATTCCCTACTGCCCCTTCTCAAGACACTGTCTTACATATAAATCAGTAATGCCCTGACATTTCTGGATGGAAGGAGAACAAAGAGTACTAATTTGAATGGTATATTAGGTATGCCACAAAAACTTTCTGGATCTCCTTCAGGAGCCTGACATTAACATTATTAAAATTCAAGCATTACTGTAAATCTGCATGCAGATCCCTAGTTTTAGTCTACCATTTATTACATACTCTCATACTGGAAAAGCATCAAATGTCAAAAGACATAGATCTTTTTTTTAACAATACGGAGAAGATGCATGAAAAGCATAAATCCTCATGAGAGCTGAGATTAAAATCTTTGGTCAGGAAACGATTTACAGTATTCTATGGGAATAATAATTGGTTGAAGTTGAATATTCTTCCCTTGAGTCTAACACAAAATCATTGATTGAACCCCCTTTATTTGGTAAATTGTGGAGATTCCCTGCTCATCCCACCTGGCAACCCTTGAAAGCTCACAGAACCTAAGGGATGGGAAGGCTTATGAACCAAACGATCCCTCCCAATAGAGGGCATGGTGTGGGAATGAGAGGGCTCTGACATCCTGGTAGGTCAATCTAACACTGGGGGCATAGTAGAACTGTTCAAGCTTGTCAGCAACTGTCCAAGGACAAATACTGTCATGGCTGTCCTTCTTGCCTTTTTGGAGATAGGCCCACCTGAATCTCCATCTTCTGAGAAACCCCAAGCCTTGTCTGCCTTCACTGAGAACCCAATATAGACAATGCATAGTTGGAAATGACTGGCTACAAATTAGATTGTAGAGATATATTGGTGGGGTGGGGTGGTTAGTTGAGAATATGCAGAATGCTTTTCAGAAATATTGCCTCCTAACTAAGCTTGATATCAGGGTTTATCAAGAATTCAGGGTCTCTATTGATGGATATAATTATGATTTATGTATGGCAGGTTTTTGTTGTTGTTGTTGTTGTTTTGAGACAGGATCTTGCTCTGTCACCCAGGCTAGAGTGTAGTGGCATGATCTCAGCTCACTGCAACCTCCATCTCCCAGGCTCAAGCCATCCTTCCACCTCAGCCTTCCAAGTAAAGTAGCTGAGACTACAAGCACTTGCCACCATGCCTGGTTAATTTTTGTTGTGTTTTTTTTTTTTTTTTCCTCTTTGCAGAGACAAGGATCTTGCCATGTTGCCAGGCTGGTCTCAAACTCTTGAACTCAAGTGATCCACCCTCCTCAGCCTCCCAAAGGCATGAGCCACTGTGCCCAGCCAAGCTCTCTTTAAAGATCTGTATTTTATCTGGGGGTTTACTGTGTAATGGGTATTATGAATAACTCACACACCAGAGGTCCCACGCCTTCTGAGAGAAGAATCTACTGTCCTTTTCCCCTACAAGCTTTGAGGTGTAATCAGAAACAATGAATGAGATGCACACAAGCATCACAGATGAATCTTAAAAACATGATGCTGAGCAAAAATAGTTGGCAGTGAAAAAGAATGAACTGAAATGAGATTTACAGTACAATATAATTTATGCACATTAAAAACACAAACATACAACGACCACATTTTATAAGAATACATGCATATCAAGCACTTCAGAGTAACATACCTAAGCAGGGAAGTGAAGGAAGCTGGAGAGGAAGAGGTCAAATGAAATAAAGTAGAATAAGCAAACGTTGGCTGGGTGCAGTGACTCATGCCATTAATCCCAGCACTTTGGGAGGCCGAGGTAGGCGGATCATGAGGTCAGGAGATCAAGACAATCCTGGCTAACATGGTGAAATCCTGTCTCTACTAAAAATACAAAAGATTAGCCAGGTGTGGTGGCATGCACCTGTAGTCTCAGCTACTCGGGAGGGTTAGGCAGGAAAATCTCTTGAACCTGGGAGGCAGAGGTTGCAGTGAGCTGAGATTGCACCACTGCACTCCAGCGTGGGTGACAGAGTGAGACTCTGTCTCAAAAACAAAAACAAAAAACAAAAAACAAGCATTGGTCCCAATCATATTGCACCATGGACTGAGGAATATAATTTATTGACCTCTGTGCACCCGAAGGTCAAAGGCAAAAGAAGGATAAAAGAAACTTTGTAATTCCTGTGGTAGGAGTGAGGAGGGATCCCTCTGCACAGAGAAGAGTAAATGAACCCACTTAGGTTTTGCTTCCTCCTCCATCCTATTCTCTACCAGGCTTCCCAGTGAAGTCTGGAGAGGAGGCCATATCCCGTGACAGGGCCAGCAAACTTCCTTTATAGAGGACCACATAGGAAATATTCTAGGCTGTGCAGACCAGGCGGTCTCTCTAGCAACTACTCAGCTCTACACTGTGGCATAAAAGCGGCCAGAGACAATCTATAAATAAAACTTTATTTAAAAACAACAACAAGAAGCAGTAGGCTGGATTTGGCCTGGGAGCTGCAATTTGCTGACGCCTGGCCTCAGGAGCTGGCTTCCCAGAGCAGAGCCTCTCAGATGATTCTGTCATTCAAAAAAGAAATATGACATATGAGGACAAATGCAAAGACACCAGGCTTATTTACATTCAGAGAAAAAGAGCCCAAGGCCCACGGGGACTTCCATGGTAATAGAATCTCAGACACTCGGAGCATTCACTGCTGGGTAAATAACCCATGGGCAGAGTTCACATCGTTTTTCATTTGATCAAGTCAAGAGCATGTTTCATAAGCAAATGCAATGCTCAGGAGCTTTTCAGAGTTTGTAGTGAGTGGCATGAATTTACATTCCCAGTCTCCCAGTAGGACTGTGGAAAGGGTGCCCTCTCTGCCTTTCTCAGACATCCTGGTTAAGTCCTGGGATGTTCCTTCCAAGAACCCCCATGCTGGACAGGAGGCTGCCCAGGCAATAACTAAACCCATGCCTGCCACTTATATTACAGGAACTTAAGACAAAAGTATAAAGCCCTCAAAACTGTAATTGCTAGATGAATAGGCCAATCAAGCCTTGTAGATTCAAGTACAATGATCATCAGTGTGATTATCAGATAACAATAGGAAAACGTAAGCAAAATCAAGTGCCTGGGCTGCTTTTTCCTCTCCCCTGGACTGTTCACTTCTAGTTGCTAATTATTGTTTCTAGAGGTGCCTGCTTCCCATCTTGTTGTCCAGCAAGCGTCTCAGCCTCTCTCTCATTACTGAATCTCTGGCTATTTCCCAGCAGAGGGACAGCTTCCTCTGGCAGGGGAAGGACAGCCTGTACCCAGATTTAGCTGACATCTTAATTCAGTCCCGTAACAATGCCCTTATCTAAGATGATCCATTTGTTCCAAGTTAGATTTCCCAAGGCACCTTTCCCCTGCATTTTACTCAAGTCTATACTGCCACAGCCCCGATGCTCCACTCTCCTGACAAGAGGCTGTAAGGCAGAAAAGGACCCTTTTAAAGCCTGTATAAATTAGTGTCAGTCATAAAATTTACCCACCAAATTGCCCAGGAGTCCTCAGGTTAAGAGAGAGGTGAGGAGGAATCATTAGCTAGTATGCATGTCTGTTGGGGCCCATCAAGATTTCAGCTCCAGGTTCTGTACCTCCTGATCATGACAGGGAGGGAGTTCTTCAAGCTGACTTCGGGAAAAAAAATTAACAAAGTCTCCATGGACCTATTATTCCCATGTCTGGTTGTAAATCCAGAATATTGAGATATTGAAACTTGCTCACGAATGAAATACATTTTGTTAATTTCCCCCTAAGTCATAGGAAATTGTCCTCAGTAGGGTTAACTTTACCTGATTTGAAAGTTTATTGTTAGTTGAAAATGCTGAAATGTTAATCTGACTGCATATGTTCCTACAAGTAAATGTTACCTCAATAATTCAAAATGATGCTAAAAATGTTCATCTTTGCTCACCCATATGAAGCTTTGGGTACCCGATAATGACTACAACATTTGCATCTTCTGCATTTGCTGGGATGAAAGGAATGACTAACATAATTACTGAATTTCCTGTCTTCTCTCTCTCTCTCTCTGTTCCTTTCTATCTCTCTCTCTCTCAAGGTCAACCATTGCTGTCATTTTCTCAATTCTGCAACTTTGCCTTCTTTTTTTGTAGCAGTTCCGATATCTGGACACTCCAAGCTAAACCCATATGTCCCCTTTTAATCTTTGTAAACCTGCATTTCACTGAGAAGGAAAAACAAGTGTTCCTCCTCCTTTCCAGGCACAAAGGTGATAGAGGCTCAGGAGAGAAACAGAAAGACACAGAATTTCATCCAGTTCTGGTGAACACTCTGGGCATTTTTTTTTAAAGGGGTGATCAACTGACCTTTAATTCATAACAATATAGATGGCTAACATTGAGTGCTTACTCTATATCAGGTACTGTGCCAATCACTCGGTATTTTATCGTCACAACAGCCCAGTGCAAGAGACAATCATTGAATGCCTTTTTTTATGTGGGGAAACAGAGGTACAGATAAGTTAAGGGACTAGCCCAGGACACACAGCTAACAGAAGGGGTGGAAGCTGAAACCTGGCCCCTACTTTCAGCCTCTGTACTACAGCAGCAAAAGGAACAGAGGAGGATACCGTCCACTGTCTGGCCACTTTTGGTTATGTAACTTCTTAAGGGATACCAGTTCTCATCATCCCATGTAGGATTTATTCAGTGCAAATTTAAAATGTCTGGTAGATTAATCTGGCAGCCAACACCTTATCACCTGCCTACCACGATCGTGAAATGAGTCCCTGTCTGTATATAAACTCAGGTTATTCATAGCTGAGGAAAATTATGAATATATGTGATTCATGTATGTAACTGTTAAAAGTATTACTGTAATGCCCTTTTCCTATCTTTAATCTTGTCTAAAGTGTTATCACTAGGGGCTTTTTGATGTCTGCTACCTAATCTCTTAGAATAGAGTTTTGTTTTTTCTGATTAAGTGTGCATATTGCATAAATCCATAGTTTAATAGAGACTGGATATGTTTTTGACTTTTTTTTAAGAGAAGTGTTTGTGCCTGGTCTGATAAAAAGATGCCACTCACCTCTTCAACAATGAGATGCTTTTTTGGACTATTTTTCGTGGTGTCTGTTGGGAGTAATGATGCATGTACGAAATGGCTTGACTGAGTGGGAGTTGTAGAACTGCTTTTGGATCAATGCAAAACTAACTATCCTAAATATGCTCCAAACTGAAAACCTGGGCTCACTGGCACTTTTCTCTAATGAAGGTAATTATCCAAAGACAAACACACACACCAACAAAACCCTGGAACAACAGTGGTTAAGACCCCACCTCTATTTAGAGTTCTCAAAGGACCAGATGCTGTACTAAGCAATCTACACATGTGAAGTGGTTCCTGTAGATTTGGTACTCTATCATACCCACTTAACCGATGAGAAAACTGAGGTATACAGAGACAAATCATACAGCTAGAGCCAAGATTTAGACAGATTCCATTCACTTGTTAGTTCTCTGAATCACCATGATGCTCAGTCAAGTGACACAGCCTCAGCTGCTACGGGGGCCTGCAGGCAATTTAAGTGAGTGAGGTCAGCTGGTGCAAGAAAATGGGGGAGTGGTGGGGCTGTAGTAAATGGAGAGAGCCCAACCTAACGAAAGAGAAGGTGCTACTCACATCTGGCAGGCAAGCAGGCCCAGGGCAGCCAGATCTTTTGATTATCCACAGCAGCCAAAAATCTAGAGTTCAATGAGAAACCTTCCAATTTTTAAATGTTGGCATATAATTTTATAAAATCCTTTTGCATGTCAACAGCGCATACTTATAGTTCATGCTGAGCCCATGGGCTGCTGTCTTCCACCTCTACTACTCTGGCTCCCACACATAGAGCCTTGGCTGCAATGTACTTGTTCTTAAATGTTACCTTCTCCATGGAAGTGCTCCTGGGTTCTGAGCTCTACTTGATTCAGCTTTGTGAGCACATGCTGTTGAAGCCTGGAGGAGTGGGTGAATCCACCAGGATCAGTGCCCCATTCTGCACTTCACATGCTCAAGTGCCAATTGCCTCTTCAAGCTTTCCTGTACTCTCCCTACTGGGACTTATACCTTCTTTGCCTGAGTTCTCGTGAAGCCATGAACTGTAGTTGGTTGTATTACATCTCCCTCTTACCTAGCACATTTCTGCTTTCTCTCTATTACAGTCTATTGGCCTATTTCTCCCTATTACAGTCTAGAGGCCTATTAGAGTCAGCCTCTTGGAGACAGACCCAGAGTCTTTTAAATTACCCCATTTTTCCTGCCTTCCTCCAAGGCTGAGATCATTTCTTAATAGGTTCACCTTAAATATTTATTGAATTAAACATAAAATTTGCAGTATTTGTAAAGCTTGTATTTGTATTACTGTGAGATAGGAGACAAGTTCATTTGCTTTAATAAAGACCTAAACATTCAGTTACTTTGCCTCTGCAAAACTCAGTTTTCTCATCTGTTAAATATTAATTATTTTGTACCCAAGTAAAAGAATCACTTAATCGATGTGGATTGCTTAGCACAGCACCTGATGCATAAGAGGCACTCAGTAGAGGTTAGTTCTTGCTGTTATTGAACTTTCACAAATCATACATGAGATTTAATAGAGTAGGACCAAGAGTCACCAAACACCAGGGGGTCTTATTACAGATGGTCCTCACATCAAGGATTGGGGTCTTCAGGAACTCATAAAAGGTTTCTTTCAACTTCAGACAACAGCTACAGTTCTGTATGTATTTTTACTGTCAACGCTAATTGTTTATTTGGACCTAGTTAATACACATTTTTTCTTTCATCACAGAAATATGCATGAATCTAAATATGCATGAATCTAAATCTAAATGCATGAATGAATGTGCTAATTGTTCTCTGTTATGGACTGAATTGTATCCCTCCCAAATTGATATATTGAACTCCTAACCCCCAGTGCCTCTGAATGTGACTGTATTTGGAAATGGGGTCTTTAAAGAGGTAATTAAGGTTAAATGAGGTCATATGGGTGGGCCCCAATCCAATCCGATAGCTGTCTATATAAGAAGAGGAAATTTGGAGATGCATAGAAACACCAGGGTAAGGGTCATGTGAGGAGATGGTGAGAAGGTGGTCATTGACAAGCCAAGGAGAGTGACTTCTGGAGAAATCAAACCTGCTGACACCTTAATCTGTACTTTTAGCATCCAGAACTATGAGAAAATAAATTTCTGTTGCTTAAGTCACCCCATCTGTAATATTTTGTTATGTAGGGAAGGAAAAAAATCCTTTTCTTTCTACCCCTCCAAGCTCTCAGCTGTACCCCCATAGCAAAAGACAGAATAACAAGAGAAAAACATTTTATTTATAATATATAAATATTTATGTTTTATGAAAGAGGAACGCTCATAAGGAAATGACCCCCCAAAAGCAGTTAGAATTGAATGCTTATATACTGAACTGGACAAAGAGTAGTAAATTATAAAAAGGTGATAAGACAAAGGGGCTGAGAAGACGGTAGTTAATCATAGAGAAATGGCTAGGAAGATAACAGTTAGTTTAAAAAGGTTTGTTTGTGCTGATTTCTCTCAGTTTTAACTTCCGGTCCTTGAGGATAAGAATGTTACTTTCCTTCTGGTATAGGGAGGACAGTTTTCATGTGGGAGTTTTATCTCCTGCTTTCAGGAAGAAAAAGGGGAGGGCCAGAGAGCCCTTCTTATACACACTGGTTTTTGAAGTGTCTTTAGCTTAAAATAATCCTTATACCCAAGGGGCATATTGTGGCGTGGCATATTCTGCTGTCCACAAACAATTACACCTTTCTTCCTTTCGACCTTAGCCTCTCTTCAGTCATGCAAATTCAGAAAATTGGAAGTGGGTATCTGCCAGTGGGTATCTGGGAGAAAAATATACTTTGGAGAAAGAGCATGTTTCTCCCTGCCTCAACTCTGACTCCTAGCCTGATACCTAGTGGATTTTCTGAGGAAGACCTGTGTGGTAGATCCCGTCAGTGTCCTGTCCATATCTCTTCGGGGCCCCATCTCTGTAGCACATCCCAGCCAGACTTTAAACTGCCAGCATCACATCTCTGCATGTGGAAGGAATTTTTTCTGGTGGCTGAAACCTGCTCTACCAGTGCTCAGAGCAGGCTGGATGTGCCAGAGAATTGATGCCCAATGACAGATGGGCGTGGAATATAAACACCTCAGCTCCCCCCACCCTCAAATGGGGTAGCTCTGATAAACCTACAATGGCTTCCAGTGTTCTCTAGCAGGATTAAGCTTCATTTACCCAAGTTGTAGCTTTCTTAATAATGAACCTTTTATTGGCTTCCCTCTCTAATCATGTTGAAGTTGTCCACTCTTCTATTGGTGTTCTTAGGAGCACCTCCCAAGTAAACTACTAGCTCTGAAATTCTTATTTCAGGGTGTGAAAAGGTTGGAGGAATTAGAACTAAGAAACCTGCTTTCTGGCTGCCCATATGTGTACACGAAGCTTCCATTTTAAAGATGCTGTTCTTGGCTGGGTGCAGTAGCTCATGCCTGTAATCCCAGCACTTTGGGAGGCCGAGGAGGGTGGATCACTTGAGCTCAGGAGTTCGAGACCAGGCTAGGCAGCACGGCAAAACCCCATCTCTACTAAAAATACAAAAATATAGCACGCCAGTGGTCCCAGCTATTCGGGAGGCAGTGGTAGGAGGTTTGCTCGAGCCCAGGGGTCAGGGGTAGGGTGCGGAGGTTATAGGGTTATAGTGAGCCATGATTGTGTCACTGCATTCCAGCCTAGGTGACAGAGCGAGACCCTGCCTAAAAATAATTTAAAAAAAAATAAAAAATAGAAAAAGGATGCGGCTCTTGCTCCTGCTGTTTCTACTTTAATGAGTTGATACACTGCACTGTGTTCTTTCTATAGTAAGTAGTCTATCCTCTGGTGAACTCTTGTAGCCTCTGCCTACAGGGAAGGGTGCTCTGACAGTCCTGTTCTTTGCCTCATGTAAATATCTTTGCCTCAAATCCACCACTCTGCATTTTTTCTTCTATAAACATGAAAGCCTAATCCCTTCAATGCCTATTGACTTTCATTAGCTCATACTCTTGCATCATATCTATATTTTGGGTAAATGTGTTTGCATCAGTGTTGTATGATTTTAATATGTTGTCTTGTGGCTGAGCCATATATTTCCTTATGGAGCTGCTGCAATAACTTTTGTGAGGTTTGGTTTGTCCAGGGATTGACTCTGTCACTGGACTGTGATAGACAACACTTCTTAGGATTGATACAAGCAGTCCGATGTGTGCAGTAAAGCTCTGGCTAAGCATCACTGCCCCTCAATCTGTTCTCCTTTGAGTTTGACATAGTGAGTGTCAGAAGGTTTAGGTCTTCTCAGAGACCACTCAGAACAATGCTGTGGACACTCCAAGTTAGGTAACTTTCAGCATTCTGGGCTACCTTAACCCTCTGCAAACTGTTTACACACAAGCCCTGGAGGTTTGGAATGAGGACAGCTCTGGGTGAAACCTCCAGAGAAGTGCATTAGTGAAACCTAACCTGACCACGCATTTAACCTCCTCAGAGGTTTCGCCAGGAAGATCACTCACCTTGCCTCTTCTGGAAAGGTTTTATCACAGAAGCTGTCTCTGTTGTGTCTTTTGTGAATCTCTTATATTAGTGTGTAAATCCTAAGAAGTATTGCCGGCTTAGGGGATTTACAGGAAAGGTTCAGGGCTCCACCATCTTAGTTTTTAATCAGCAGTTAGTGCTGCATGGCCTTCAGCATAGGGATAAAAGCCAGAACCACAATTAAAGGACTGTGGCAGACTCACTCTGTGTTATCTCAGGCAATCTATTTGCCTTCTGCTCATTTGCCAGTAAAAAGGAAATAAAAGTGCGTGTTACTCTGTTATTCTCACTCTAATAATTCAGAAAAGCCTATGCATTGATTAAAATATTATATGGAGGGAAGATTTCAAATAGGCCCCGGGTAAATCTACTAACCCATGTAAATGCAGCTATTACATTTGAATGGACTTCCTTTGAAGTAGGCCATTCTGTGAAAAGATAAGGGTCTTAATCCTGTCTGTCTTTGAAACATGTTCAGTAGGATAATTTCACCTATCAATCTGTTGGGGTATTAGTTTGGACCTGATGCAAAAGGAGTCAGCAGTGAATGGTGAAGCACAAAATTCCTTGTTCAGTTTTCCAGAGTTTGTTTTCCAAAATTTAAAAGTGCTTATTTGTTTTTGTTTGATTTTAATGATGTCAAATGAGTCTGTTGACACTGAGGATTGATATGATCTTATTATTCTTGACAAAAGCACTGAACACCAGGACTGCATTGGACAGCTTGTGAAGAGCGAGTATCACCTTCGCCTGAATCCTTTCTTTCATCTCCTCTGTCCCATATCATCATCTTCTGGGATTTTGCTTCAATAGGTCTCAGCTCTGCCTTTCCTTTCCATTCCTGTTTTGACTATTTTGTAGCCTAGGTTGTTTCACAGCCTGTCACTGTTATACCTCCAAGTTGTCCTGATCTTAGTTCTTAACATTCCAGGTAACTCTGCCTCCTGTTTCCTGATGTTCTATAAATATTGATTATTTGATTACAAGGCATGATCGATGATTAAACCAGAAAGAAAAAAAAAGAACATTACATATTGATATCTTCCTTAAGGCAAAATCGGCATCATATTTAGTTTGATTCTATAGATATCTAATGAGGACCAACAGTGAGATTTTCAAGCACATAAGACCCATTGCAGGAAGCTGTCAAAATTGTCCAGGGAAAATAAATAATTAATCTTTCTTTTTGTTTTTATTTTCTTTCTCTCTTTCTTTCTTTCTTTTTTTTTTTTTCTTTTTTTTTTTTTTTGAGATGGAGTCTCGCTCTGTTGCCCGGGCTGGAGTGCAGTGGCGTGATCTTGGCTCACTGCAACCTTCACCTCCTGGGTTCAAGGGATTCGCTTGCTTCAGCCTCCCGAGTAGCTGGGACTACAGGTGCCCGTCACCGTGCCTGGCTAATTTTTGTATTTTTTTTTTTAGCAGAGATGGGGTTTCACCATGTTGGCCAGGTTGGTCTCGAACTTCTGACCTCAGGTGATCTACTACTTCGGCCTCCCAGAGTGCTGGGGTTACAGCCATGAGCCACTGTGCCCTGCCAAGAATTCGTCATTTTTAAAGCAACAATCATAAAGTAGATTTCAAGCAAGGCAGTTTCAATTATTTAGAACCCTGAGTAGCTATTCAAGGCTATTAATATGCAAACTCAAAGGCAGAAAGGCTAGAAAAGCAACATCTCTGCCCTCTTGTTAGGGACTGAAATTTTATGAGGATTACCTGTTGTCATGGCAGAAAATTCATCCAAATGCGTACCCGTCAGTAACTATAAGGAGCCGTGAATTCTCTAGTAAATGCTCCAGAAGACAGCCACAAAATGCTGCCATCCCATCTGTTTTTCTTCTCATGGAGGATCTGTGCTGCCTTAGAAAGACAAATGCAAAATTCAAACAAAAAATAAAGTTTCCTCCTACAAATGTTTTATCTGGGTATTTTCTCCCCTCCCATTTTACCTCTGGCATCTGATCCTTTGCTGATTGTTTCTTCTTCAGGGTATTTTTAAGATTTGAGCATAAACAGATGTGTTGGAATTCCATTAGAATTGTCCTTTCCCCAAATGACTGCCTCCAATCCCTCCCAAAATCCCCTTGCCAGAAGATATTGGTCCACCTCACAAACACTGGTGTGGAATGTGACCTTTGCTCATTTTCAGGTTTGTGTCTTTTGGTGGTGGTGGGGAATGTCCATTTCTACTAGTTAGATATTCTCTAAGATAAAGAGCAGTCCTTTGCATTGTAGTTGAATTCACAATAAACACCTCGTAGTGTAAACAAGGCAACTTACATCTGTCTTGTTTTTGGTCTGTCTATACATGCTCACATTTAGGAAGTTAGGCTCTGCCCCAAGTACTGTAGGTCTCAGAAGATTTCCTTATTAGACTGCTTACTTTGAAAGTCTGATGAAGCCTGTATATTTTCACCAGAAAAGTACACAGGCGTTTTTCATGTAAGGAGGCTCCCAGACCCTGTAAAGCCTATGGACTCCAGACTGAAAAGAATGATGAAGATAATCTCTAACACACTTATACTGACTGTGCCAGCTCCATTCTAAGTGCTTGACAAATAATGACCCATTTATTCCCACAATGATTCTGTGAGGCAGCTCCTAAAATCATTCCAATTTTACAAATGAGAGAACTGATTCCAAGGATGTGGCCCATTAAACATCTCATGACTGGTCAAAGGCAGAAGGAGGATTTGAATCCAGCCAGTATGGCTCCAGAGACTACCATACAATAGCACCGCTCATTTATAATTAGAAACTGTAAGGAAATATGGTAACAAAGAAGGGAAATAAGATAAAACAACAACGTTTCCAAGCCTTTTCTATGATTGCATGGACTCTTGAATTTATTTCATGTTCTATTCTAATGTCTACACTATAGAGACCTAAAAATGTATCTTGTCCATATACCCTGAGAAAAACTATTAAAACTTTACAAACACTAAGTCCCGAGTCTCCTGTTTAAATAAGTACAAAATTCTATTTTTGCCATTATACAAAGTATCTGAAAGAATGTTACAATCTACATATTAGAAAAGTTAAACTATCAGTTTTTATCTGGAATCATATAATTACAGATCCATGTAATGCCCACTATGCAGAAAACTATTCTATAAAGTAATATTCAGAAAGGATGACACCAGTCCCCAAGAAGTTTACAGTCAAAGAGGAGTCAAAGATAACAAATATGCAAATACCCCAGGGGACTAGCTCTCTCTGAATGGACTGGAGAACTGAGTCACACTCTCTAAGCCATAACCATGAAGGTTTTGACATTTCACCTGGAATAAACAGAAACTTTATGACTAACATCTTTTCCCACTTTTTTTTTATTTTTTTTTCCTGAGACAGAGTCTCACACTGTTGCCCAGGCTGGAGTGCAGTGATATGATCTTGGCTCACTGCAGCCTCTGCCTCCCAAGCTCAAATGATCTTCCCACCTCAGCCTCCTGAGTAACTGGGACTACAAGCGCGTGCCACCACACCTGGCTAATTTTTCTATTTTTAGTAGAGATAGGGTTTCACCATGTTGGCCAGGCTGATCTCAAACTCCTGACCTCAATAATCCACCCATCTAGGCCTCCCAAAGTTCTGGGAGCCACTCACAGGCATGAGCCACCGTGGCCAGCCAGCTTTTCCCATTTCTGAATGAATGGACATAATAGAGCACCTGAAGATAACAGATTCAGCTCTGTTAATAGCAATTAGGAATTATTACCCCTTCAAGTGTCTCTTCCTTTAACCCTCCCTCTCTAGGGACCCGGTTGTAGAGACAGAATCAGAAGAGTGTCACATTTAAATTTTCAAAAAGAAAGTTATTCATTTCTCTTCTTACCAATATTACCTCTTTCAAGTAGGTTTATTTATAAACAAAGCATTTACATAAGCTTTAGTGTTTCACTTTATTGGGCGTGATATGAAGCTGAAGAACAGGAAAACAAATTTCGGAGATTGACCAAAACCATTCACAGAGTTTGCGTGCTTGTAAAAACATATGCAAATTTCATATGACTATCCAATAAATGTGTATATATGTGTGTTTGGAGATAATTTTGATTAAATATTCACTGTGGATTCTTTTTTTCATTTCCACCACTTCTGAACATAGAAGAGGTGAGATTTATTAATAGCCACTGACACTTATGCATATTCTGATGGTTAACAGGGTTAACTATCATAGGCATTCATAGGCATCGTTTAGCCTTCAGAACCACCTGAAGGTTGGATTTTATTATCTCTATTTTACAGATAAGGAAATAGGCTCAGAGAGGTGAATTGTTTGGCTAAAGTCACAGAGCTAATAAATCATAAATGTAAGATTCGATTCAGGGTTTTCAACTCTATGTTCAATGTCTGTCCGACTTCCCTACAAGTGTATTTAGACTATAAAGGATGAAAAAGTTATACTTTGATGATTGGCAGTAAACAAGGTGCTTCAAGAATAACCCATCAGAAGATTTGGAGTTTGCCTAGAGTGGGGAATATGTGGCAAAGGAAAGTTGATGAAAATCATATCTGGACCATGGTTCATTCTTCAGGTTATGCGGCTTCCCTGGAACTCACTGGGAATTAAATAACTACAGCACCACCAATATGGAGACAACATGATGCCAAAAAGAGCACTGGCTATAGTTTACAAGCCACCTCACTGATTAGAGTCTTTGCACATATTTTGTCTAATCTTCTCAACAACCTGGTTGTATAGGTGTTAGAACAGAAGGTAGAAGCTCAGACCAAGTAACTTGAGGGCACATACCTTAGAAGGTGGGAAGACCTGGTTTTGAACCTAGGCCTATCTGATGCCAGAGCATGGGTGTTCTATTTTACCACCCTAGGTCTGCAGAGTACCCACCTTTGAGGAAGTCACTAGTTCTGTGTCAGGATAAAAGTGATATTAGCTCCATGAAGGTAGCTGGGAAGTGGGGAAGGCAGAAAGCTTTTCAACCTGTTTAGATCTCTCTCCTTTCCTAGTATCAGAGATAATTTTTTTAACCATGCCCTGTAATAGCAGTTCTCAAATTTTCTGGTCTCAAGACCCCTCTACACTCTTAAATTCTATAGAATCCCAAAGACTTTTTATCTACGTGGGTTACAGCTGTATCTATGAATGCTTATCATATTAAAGTTTAAAACTGAGACATTTCTTCAAAATATTTATTTAATAAATGAACTGATTATGTGTTGTTATAAATATGTTTTATGAAAAATAACTGTTTTCCAAAACAAATTACATTTTCGCTAATTTCTTTAAATGTCTGGCTTAAGAGAAGCAGCTAGATTCTCGTATCTGGTCCTACACTCTATCTTTTGCCACATCCAATGTTTTTAGCCTCTGGAAAACACCAATGTATACTTACAAGAGAATGAGAGAAAAGGGGGAAAGTAACATTTTAGTATTATTAGGATCCTCGGGAAACCCCTGAAAGGATTCTCACTGTCTGAGAATCCCTGCCCTATAGCCACTTCAGTATATACCAGGGCCAGTGAAATAACTGAATCTTTGATTAGAAAGGACATTACAGGTCATTTAGTCCAATCCTTCATCTGATGAAACAAAATCCCATCAAATCCTGCCTAAGCTTCCCATTTTGCAAGGACGGGGACCACTCCAGGTTCAAAAAGGACTTTAAATGGATAGAAAAACCCTTATTATGTTGAGAAGAAACTTTTTGCTCTGTAGTTTCCCACTTTGGTCTTTACATAGAATGAGTCCAATTCTTTTTCAACATATTCAAAATATTTGAAAACAACTCCCTTGTCATTCCTTGAGTGCTGTCATCTACTATAAGCTAAAGGCTTCTTTATGTTTAGAACTTGGGACACCTTCTGCTGCTCTTGGTGTACTTCGGCCCAGATTTATATCTTCTGATCAAGATCTTCAAAAGCCAATCTGAGCTCATGTAATGTTGCCAGTACCCTCTAAGACAGGTTTGCTCACAGCTCATTCTGTATTTAGCTTGGATCAATGCTACAGATGCTTAACATTCACAGACAGAGGGGAAGCATATTCTTAAAGGTTTCTAATTTCTGTGTGGGCATGACTTTGAATCCTTGTTTCCTTTTCCACTCTCTTCTCTCCTATTTTCCTGATCCAGGCCTTGATTTATCCAGGGCATCATTTCATTTGCCCCTTCTCTTTCAATCCTATAATAAAGGCAGTGCTATCTGTGTAGAGCTTTAAAGTTTGCAAACAGTGTTACAAACACCACTTCATTTAATTAGCACAGAAATTCTGTACACAGAATGCACTGACACAAACAGCAAAAGAAACCACAGAAGAAGCTTCCACGAACTTGATCTTATGGATTACCATTTTAATACTTCATGCCTGGGATCCTGTAACCTGCTTTGCCGGCTGCCCAGCTTTCAGTGTCTCCCTATTCTAAAGCACTTTACATATGGATGCTAAAATCATCTTCCTTCCCTGCTGATCTGAACATGCCACCATCTGGTGTCCATTTATAGCCTCCCATCACCCATGGGATAATGTACTTTCCTACAACCTCAGAGACTCTGCATCTGCTGAGACCTCTGTCTTGCTTTCCTTAACTTAGGATTGCAGTGTTTAGCTAATCATGATTTTGTTCATTTATTTGTTCATCCACCCAGCATTCATTCATGCATGCATTTATTTGCTTATAATCTACTATATGGTAGCCACTGTATTAGATACTAGAGGAAAATACAAAAAAGAATAATTTCTGCCCTCAAAGGGTTTATAATCTTGCATTGGTGAAATGGGAAAATCTGACTTAATTCAAATGCAGAGATAGACTATGATAACACAGGTGGTAAACATGGAATCATAATTTTAGGTAAACACAGGTTTACCACAGAAAGATTAATCCCAAATGGAAAGA